GCCCTGTGTAAACTGACCACCTTCTGTAACAGAATCTTTGGGAAAACTCACTGCTCTCCTCCTGCTGAGTACACTGTATGCCCTGAGTTAGCCCAGCCAGCGTGGGTATGCACGGGACTTTCTTAAGCCAGGAAGTGTCTGTGATAGAATCATAGATCTATTTTAGGTGCAACCTGGGGTCTTTAAGACCAATTGGTAGAAGTCTGTCTATTTCACAAGCAAGAAAAGAACAGCCACTGGGCCCTTGGGAGTGCACTCGCTCTATTTATAAACCACGAGTGGCCCCCTCTCAGTGACTGTCTTCTATTAGCTGTTTTCTGAGCACCTGTCCTCTCACTTGACTCCTGCGTCACTGCACTGTCACCTTTACGCTAATTAATTTCATTTCTTTCCGTGGCTGCAGCCTGTGCTTCACCCAGCCAGGCATCCTTCAACACATATGTATTGCACCTCCCACCACACACTGGGCACTGGATACAAAGACTTTAAAAATAACTAGTAGATAACATTTTGGAGAGCTTTCTAGGTGCCAAGCTGATTCTAAATGCTTCACAAATATTAAGTCCGCAGCCCCGTGAGGTATGTGGATACTATTATTAACTCCACTTTCCAGATAAGGAAAGAAGGCACAGAGAGGCTGAGTAGCTTGCCCGAGCCACAGAACTAGTGAGCTGTGCATCCGGGGTCGGATCCCAGGCAGCCGGAGTCCGACGCCCTCTGATAGCCACTGTCCAGTGCAGCCGTGAAGGGACATGGTCCTTGCGGGTAAAGAGTGTCCAGCCGACGGCAACATGCCGTGTGGGCAGTGTGATGGGGGTGCAAGCCAATGGCTCTGAGAGCCCAGAAGAGGGAACATTAAAGTCCTCCCACAGCAGAGGAGAAAGTAGAAACAGTAGCAGCAGCTCATCCTGATTGAAAGTTTACCAAGTCTCGGTACTATACGGAGCATGTTAAAATCATTCCTTATGAACTCACTCAATAACCTGATCTTACGGATGAGAAACTAGGGCTTAAAATTAAGTAGCATATAATTTAATCGAGAGTCACCCATGTGTTTTGGAGAATGAAGGTGGACTGGGCTGGGTTTCCAGGTCCTCAACCCAAGGGCCAGGCCCAGCCAGGGCCCAGGCCCAGCACCAGCAATGACAGGGGAGCCTTCGTGAGTTTTAAAATCCATCTTCAAGTTAGCAGATTCGAAGTCCAGTTTCCTTCAGTTCCATGATGCACCATCTTACCATCCCTTGGTAACGTTTAATGTAATAAAAAGAAACTACTTTAAATGTGCTTTGTTTTGCTGACTAACAATAACACAGCTGCCATCCATCCTTAGCGGTCAGCCTCCGGCAGTGGTCCTCAGGCTGCGCCAGGCGTCGGGATCGGCTGGGGAGCTTATAAAATGCAGCTCACCAGGCCCAACCCCGGGATTCTGGCTCCGTGCTCCCAGGGAGGGGCTGGGAGTCGAAGCCTTAGCTGGCCCCGTCCTTGATTCTGGTAAGACCACACTTTGAGAATCGGCAGTCTCTAAGTCCTTGTGAATCACTGTTTTCCTTCTGCCTTCATCGGGCACACTAAGTATCATAAATTAAATCTTTCCTTAAAAATCAGCCAGAACGTTTCGGTAGATGAGTACTTGGCGGTGTCCATCTCATATCACGAAGATGGGAGAATTGAGCACAACTGTTCGGCCTTGAAAGAAGGATGTTTGGACAGGTGCTGCAGCGTGGCTGCGCCTCAAGGACGTGGCGCTGACGTGAAGTCAGGGCAGTCACAAGCAGACAGACACTGCACAGAGTTCCAGTCTGGGAAGACGAGCAGGGTCCCAGGGACGGCCGGTGCGGACAGTTTCATAACCGTGTGAATGCACTTAATGCCACTGAGTGATGATAAAAACTGTGTGTGGGGGGGGGGGCGTTGAATAAACCAGCTTGGATAAGTCTCTGCTGCATTCGGAAACACTGGTGTTTCCTCCACCCCAGATTGCATTGCCCAAAGTCTGGCCAGTGACCCTTTTACACCCGCGAATGACGAGCACCACTCTACCTACCTGTGCTACTTAAGCCCCAGTGAGCTCTCATTGTTACTGTAAAACAAGAAACCGTGTGTGTGCAGCCCTTCCTCCAGCCAAGTCACGGACCCACTTCCAGCAAATCCAGCAGCTCAGTGTCCAGTGACCTCTTCGTGCCCTGAAGCACTGGAATGAAGTATTTTGAAAAGACATTTAAAATATATATAACTATTAGGAACCCAAATTTAAGTTAAAACTTGGCAGGCAGTGCTGTCAGACCAACTCCTGAACCCAGGTGCCCGTGGGGAAGAGAGGCTTGCCCGCCCGGCCGGACATGCGTGCGCCCCAGCAGGGACAGTTATGGGAGTGAGAGAGTTCCTTGGGCTCTGATTGTAAGAAGCCTCCAGAACCCAGAAATATTTAAATGTGGGGAAAAATTACTTACCATTCATGGTTCTTGGTAGCAAAACAAAGAGGCTGACTTAAGCAGAAAAGGAATATTCTAGAAGGTGAGGTCGTGCACAGAGCTAATGAGAAGGTTGGAGAAGTAGGCTGAAAAAGTAGGTTAGGAAGCCGCCACTATGAATAAAGTCTCCTTCCCCCACGTCCGCTCTTCCCTCAAGAGTCTGCAGCCGACTGCGGTGGAAGCGCTGATTGTCTGAGTCTAGATCACCTGCACCCCAACCTGCAGCTTCCTGGGCCCGTGAGGACCTCCCACCCCAGCAGGAAGGGTGTTCCGCAAAATGCAGCTCATGGCTGTTCCACTGTGCACCCAACCCAGGTTTTCTTTAACCTGTTTCTGAACCTTCGGTTACCTGATTTTTGCCACAAAGGAGACCAAGTGAGAGAATGGGTCGGAGAGAGAAGTCAGTCCTCACCACAGGAAAAGCGAGCTGCCAGGCAGGTCCTGGAGGGCCGCTCCGAGGTGCCTTCCCAGGGAAGCCCCGTTCACCTGCCGAGGAACCGGGACCTGGGCTCTGGCCCACAAGTTGGTCTCAAATGAAAGAACCACTTTCTCTTTCCTCGGGAGACAGTTGTTCTGGCCGCACAGGGACAGAACTGTGAGTGAAATCTGGACTCTGAATCTGTATGTGTCACCGCATGACCCTTCCGATGGGCCTGTGCTTTTCCTCTGTTCAGACTGCGGCCGGCAGCAGTGAAGGTGCACCAGGGCCACCTCCTGAGAACCTGCCGGAACAGAGCAGTGAGGGCCCCAGCACACCCACACATGTGGGGACCGGCACGGGGCCCCAGCAGTCCTGGACATTGGATTTTTCTTTGTTTTTTGTTTTTTAACTTTTTTTTTAATTCATCTTTAGAGAGGAAGGGAAAGAGTGAAGGAGAGAAATATCCATGTATAGATGCTTCTCGTGCGTCCCATGCTGGAAACTGGCCTGCAACCCAGGCGTGTGCCCTGACTGGGAATTGAACCTCGATCCTTTGGTTCACAGGCCCACGCTCATCCACTGAGCTACACCAGCCAGGGCTGGATTTTTTAACTAAAAACGTGTCTGTGTCCAGTTTGCTTGCTTGACTGCTCCCCTTACACCCATTCTTCAACTCTCACCGAGACCCGAGCGCACAGGACCCCCCCCTCATTTCCATCTAGTCGACCGCTGTGCTCTGGACACTTCCCCGGCCCCCTCGGCCCCCGGCTCCCAGTGTCCCGAGTGGGTGTTAACATTTTCATATCCATGCTGCTGTCTGACACCATTGGGCATCGCTAACTTTATAGCATTTCACCTGAATGTTAGTTACCACACTGTACGTATCCTTTTAAAGCTGATGTTTTTACTCACCAATTTTTTGGAGAGTGGCCTGTTTTGACAAGTGAAAATCTAGTTCATCCTCAGTGCCATATGGTACTTTGCTATATGTAAATAAACCAAACTGAAACTTTTTAAAGAATCTGAAGCAAACAAGGCCAAGTGTCAAAATTTGTTAAAGTTACCTGATGAGTATATCAACACTCATGTTATGATTCGCTAGACTTTGAGGCATTTGGAAGTTTTCAAAATCTAAAAAAATACCCACAGGCACTAAAGCAGGAGTCAGAGGTGGCCTGGGGCTGCCACGGGGCTGCGTTGGGACTCTGCCCCTACGCCGTCAAGCTGAGATTAGGAATGAGCCTGGTGCGACTGGCCTCCTCTTGTTTGCTTTTCGGAGCGCTGCTCCCTGGGGAAGTGCCTGAAGTCTGCAGGCTGAGAGGTGTGTTGATTTAACTGCAGGATTTGAAGCATCTTGGTATGCGGCCAAAACAAACTAAATAGAACTCGTGGTGGGCCAAGGCGTGTTAAAAAAGAAATTGGCAAGAGACCATTTCACAGAATGGCTGTGAGACCAAATTTTAAAAAATATTTACAACATCCTTAAGATATAAATAGTCCAAATGATAAATATTGGCTACATTTGCAGCCAGCCCAACCTCTGACCTCCTTTACACTCTTAAAAACTTGGGTTTAGAGAAGGCAGTTACGCTCGCGTTGCGCTCACTGGACACCCAGCAGGATCCCAGGTGGCCCCCAGATTTCCTCCCTTCTGCATCTCTGACGCTGTCAGACAAGCGAGACTCCCACAGAAGCAAGGGCTTTTGACTGATGGCCCATGGTTTTGTAGAGCCGCCGATTAACTTGTCCATCAACCCAAAGAACAGTCGATGGGACCTCACGGTGGAACAAGAGACCCGTGAGGACCAAACCAGATTACAGATACGGAAGTAAGCAATGTCCAAAGTGACCGCGAGCCCCTTTCTATTCTCTGTTTCTCCCCACAGAGGGACTCCCAGGAACCCCTGCATTAACTTAGATGCGTGCAATCCAGAGGACCCCATCTGAAGTGATTTTTCAGGTCCCGAGGCCCCCATGGCCTCCAGCATGGAGACAGGCTGTCTCCCTGGCTGCAGCTGCTGCAGAACCAGCAATTCCCGACTCCCGTTAAACGCGTCTCCGACACGCAGCAGCAGCGGCTGTGCTGACCCGCCCCTCTCTCCACCTAGGGTACGACTTCTGCCAGGTCCTGCAGTGGTTCGCTGAGCGGGTCGACAGGATCATCCTGCTCTTTGATGCTCACAAACTGGACATCTCGGACGAGTTCTCGGAGGCCATCAAGGCCTTCCGGGGCCAGGACGACAAGATCCGCGTGGTGCTGAACAAGGCCGACCAAGTGGACACGCAGCAGCTGATGCGCGTCTACGGGGCCCTCATGTGGTCCCTGGGCAAGGTCATCAACACGCCCGAGGTGCTGCGCGTCTACATCGGCTCCTTCTGGGCGCAGCCCCTGCAGAACACGGACAACCGCAGGCTCTTCGAGGCGGAGGCCCAGGACCTCTTCAGAGACATCCAGAGCCTGCCCCAGAAGGCAGCGGTGCGCAAGCTCAACGACCTCATCAAGCGAGCGCGGCTGGCCAAGGTAAGCCAGCACATGCCTGGGGGGGGGCAGGCTCAGGCGCGGGGCACTCCCCACACTCCCCCTCTGAGAGGAAGGGGCGGGGGCGCCCCATCCCAGGAGACTTAGGGAACGGAACTTGCCGTGGGTCAGAAGAGAGCCCATGTCCTCGAGATCAGTGTCCTGGTTTAGATTCTGGCTGCTAGCACTCCGACCTTGGGCAAATGGCTGAACCTTCCCAAAGCCTGTTTCTAATCTGTACAATGAAGCTATGAGCACCTCACAGGGCGCTTGTGGGGACTCGGGGTGGCAGGCCCTGCAGAGCACGCAGCCTGGCGCCCGGTGCCGGGGAGGGATCGGTGCGCTTGTACCTGGAAGCTACTGTTAAGTTAGGACAGAGATTTTCAACCTTTTTCACCTAACGGCACATGTAAACTAATCACGAAAGCTCTGCAATGCACCAAAAAAAAAATTTTTTTGCCAGTTCAGCAAAAAAATTGGTGTGACTTTGATTTATTCACACCAGTTGGCTATTGTGTTGGCTGTTGTCATTTTTAATTAGACAACCTAAGGGGAAAGAGGTCAGTGCCCCTGACCACATAGTCAGGTGCTGCATGACTTTGTAGTCACACAGCACACCGGTTGAAAAATCGCTGAGTTAGGACGATGGGAAGGTAAGCAGTGGAGCCGCAGAGAGGTGGTGTCAGTGCTGTGCAGTGCTACTACTGCAGTGCTGAGAGGCCACCACTGGTCACCCTGTGCCTGTGACACAGAACCTGCTGTCCCTGTCGGGACCCAGGGGAACCCAGAAGGAAGGTTGGCTTCGCCTAACCTAGCTGGTTTCCGGGCCACACCCTCCCTGTCCCCATCATTGTCTGTGGCCTGTGAGCAGGTGAACTGTGGCTCTGCCCCCCACCCCGCTCCCCCCAGTTTCCCACCCCCCCATCCAGTCACTGAGCCTCTCTGAAGCCCCAGGAGGGCTGAGTGCCTGGCGGGGAGGGGGGTGCAGTCTGCTGATGGCCCTCAAGTAGAGTAAGTAGAGTCAATTCTGTCACATCTCTGAGGAGAGGAAAGCATGCAGCCTCTCTAAGAAAAAGATAGGAAACGTTTTTTTAAAAATATATGCACATTTGGTGACATCATTGTCCTCTAGCGCTGAAAGTGCCTCCAGAGTTTTAGTCCAGTGGTCATCAGAAGCACCCAGGTGCGTTAACCATTATAAACTACCAGACCCTGCACCAGAGCTTCTGACTTGGGGGTGCAGGGGGTGTAAAGCTCCCTCGGTGATTCTGATGGGCCACCTGATCCACTAGGGACAAAGCCAGGACCAACAGGCAGCCCTCCTGGCTCTTACTCTAGCCCTCTGCTTTGGCCTCGTCACTTCAGCTAAAAACAGTCCACAGGCCTGCCTCTCTCATCCCACTGGCACCCTGGTCAGGGGGCAAGGTCAGCCCACTTCTCCTCGTCTCCTGGGGCCCAGCGTTGCCCAGCTCCTGCCTCGTTCGGCCAACACCCTCTCGGCGCCCTTGGGCCAGGACTGGAGAGCCCAGTCAGGTCGGGGAGGGTGGCACCAAACCCCTTACAGTTGGCGAGCTCTGTGCCCTTGGGGTGAGGACACTGTGCTCTGAGGGGGGCCTGCCAGGGCAGGCAGGCGGCCTTCCCTGAGGGGGACCAGCCTTGCGACACCGCCTCATCGCTCCTCAGCAGCCTCTCTTCATGCCGAGGTGCTCACACAGCAGCGTCTCTCCCTCCCGGGTCAAAGAAAGGCCTCCCTGGCGTCTGGGCTCCAAGTGCACTAGCACCTCCATCAGCTCCTGTCCTCCCTCCCCCCGGGGGTGGTGCGTACACACACTCCTCCCGCCTCCCGTGTGGCTCCGTGAGTCCGCAGTCTCTGGTGCCCGTGAGTCACTGCTGGGCGCCCTTTCTTCCTGCTACAAGCCACTTCCTTCCCGGGACCACAGCCACTTTTATCCCAGTTCTGCCAGGCAGTGTGCGAACCAGTTTGTCGGGCCACTGACTGCAGCTCTCCTGAAACGATTCGTCTCCTGCTTGTCCTGGGCCTAATGCTCGGTGGCAGGAGGTCTGCTGCCGTGTAAAGACCTGCTGGCGTGTGGTATTTCTTTTCTTTAGCTGATACAGCTGAACTTAACCTTCAGGTTTCACAGTGCCCCCCCATTATCTTGTAACCAAGGCTGGTGGATCATGTCATAGCCTTCACAGACTTCAAGATGTTCTGGAACCACTCTTAAATGCACAGGGACATATTTAATTTACCAGTTATTGTTGAGAGCCCAGTGATTGAAGACACAGCTGTATTCAGGCACATAAAGAAATAGAGAGCCAAGGGTTCACCCACTGGGAGTGCCAAGGGCACGGGACTTTCTGCTGCCCTCGCGCACTGGGCCCTCTGAATGGGCCGGCGTGGCCTGGGTCTCGAGAGGCAGAGAATACCGCTCCCGACAGACACGGGAATAATGGAGGCCCTTGTGTGCGTGGGGGCAGGGGCGGTCAACTTGCTGAGCTTCTAGGAAAAAAACTTCTATTTTTTTTTTTAATTCCTGAGAATAGTACTGGCTTGTTCCTTTTCACAAACATGCTTGAAAGACAGACACTGCAGCCTGGCTTCTCAGGGCCTGCGTGCTCCTGGGGAAGCGCCGTGCTGCGAGGGCCAGGAGACGGGCCCCGGCGGGCGGGAAGGAGGGCCCAGCGCAGCGCCCTTCAATGCCGTCTCTTCACACCGTCTGCAGTGTTACGGCCACTGCGACCTCGCTGCTGCTTAGATGGACACGGAGTCACCTGAGTTTTTCCCTTTGCTGTATTCATTTCTTAAAGATGCTCTTCGATTTTGGTGTAGTAATCTTTACTTCTCTTGATCCAGTTTCCCTTTTGCAAGTCAACCCATTGCGAGGGTCTGCCGTATTCCTGAAGCATCATGGTTTGCGGTACCGTGTTGTTTTGTGTGAGCCCATCAGTAGCTCACAGGGCTGGGCACTGCCTTCATTTCTCTCACAAGGGAGCTGCAGCTCACACAGGTGGAGCAACCTGCCCAAGGCTTCCCAGTCCTTGCGCCGCAAAAGATGGATTCAAACCGCAGCCGGCCCAGCTCCTGAATCCAGAGCGGACAGCGTCGGTTGCTCCTTCCCGTGTGTGCCTCTGCTTTCTGCATCACTCCGCCGTTCTTTTTGTTCTACCAAATTCTCTATCCACAGAAACCCTACAAAAGTTTAGAGGTTCCTCGAGCTGACAGTCTGAAAACCTGCAAAGGGTATTATGTTTTCAGACGTCACCTAGGAGGTATCAGATCTGAGCTGGGGATGGACCGTGTCTATTTATAGAACATCATAAGCAGGCAGAACTCATGGCCCATCCAGAAATCAAACAAGGGGGTTAACACCCCTCCAGTGCTGCATTAATCAAATCTTGGTGTCATAAAGACGACACTTTAATAATCGGACAAATGTCATTCTTACCATAGAGCTCTTAAAATTTAATGGTTTCATGACTTTTTCTATTTATGTATTATCCCACAGCTCTCTAGTTCAAACAACAGGAAACCCGGGGAGTGGGTTTTTGGTTAGCCTCAAAGAGCACGCCTTACAGTTTCGACGCGAGCACTCTTCAGAGTGCTCACAATCAGATGCCCGTCAGGGTTCGTTTTGTGATTCTTTAAAGTTATTTGGGGGAAGACCCAAAAACTGGTCTTTTATAGAAAGAAAATATAATTCAGTTGGACTTAGCTATCATTAAAATAGCCAACCTAAAGAAATGGTAGCATTTTATGGGATAAATGCACAAAAATAAACATTGAGGCCAGTTCACTACCAAGGGCTCACCCTTTATAAATGCATTGCCCAAGAATAGGAAAGGTTCCCCCCCGTCTGGAGGTCTTTGCTCAGCAAAACGAGTCAACATGTGAGGAAGGAAGAACTGAAAATGAGAAGGAAAAGGAGAGGTCAGTGATTTGGGGGCTCACTGTCCTGTGGTGGTTAGTTTCACCTTCAAAACGTGTTTTCCTCTCAGCCACACGTGTCGGCAGACTCCAGCTTTCTGGTTGTCTGCTCCGCCACCTCTTTCTGCGGAGAAGTGCGGCCGTGGTGTGTGAGAGCCCTTCTGCAGCAGGGAGTGAGGGCTAGTCCGCCCTGGTGCTTTTAAAAATAGCGCAGTCGGCAGCCCCAAGCTGCTGTGGATGCGTGTGTCTGCTTGAGCCCATGTAGGGAAGCCTGTCCCTTTGAAGGTTGACCTCAGATGACTGGGTGGGTCCCCTCAAGCCCCCTTTAAGCTGTTCAGCATCACACGGCTGTCCGCGCCAGCTGTGACTTCAGCAGAACAACACGCTCGCCCGAGTGCTGCTTCTCTTTCTCTCTGCCTCTCGCAGTCTCACCCCTACAGCCCCATGGGTGCGTCTTTTGGGTCTTTATGAAATGAATCTCTGTGTCATCATAAACCCACCCATGGAAAGGGAGGACACTTCAGAATGTGCCAACCCCTGACAGGAGTGCTCTTTGCCAGGTTCCAGCTGGGCCTACAAAGACGCAGGTGTGTTCACTAGGCTGCGTTAAGACCACAGAGCGTGGAATCATGTTTTCCCAGGCTGACTTCCCCCAACCTGCTCCCCAGCATCCAAGTTCCACGCACACTGGGTGCTTATAGCACTCGCTGCCGGGGCCCTGTCCCACACCTCGGGCGGGTACCCCCAGTGTCAGTCTGAGCACCTGCTTCTCGGTCCTGGGCACATACAGACACTTGCCATGAGACACTGTTAAAGAGGTGGGGGCAGAGTCTGTATGTGAGCTGTCAATTCACGTCTGTCCAAAGGTAGGACATCTCTTTCTGCTCATCGAGTTTGTAGCCCAGAGAAAAACTGACACTTGGGGCCCTTCCAGTTTTACATGTGGAGCAGGCGAATTGGACAAGATAGGAACGTCTAAAAGGCCCTAAGGTGCAAGGTCCTTCACTTGTGAATGAAGCCCTTGGGACTCAAATTCATCATATTACTGTTCAAATATGGAGAGGTTATTAACTATTCAGTAAGGACTAAACAGCCACGAGTCCTCTCTAGCATTATTCCTCCAGCCATTGTTCTTTGACCACTAGTCAATAAAACATGGCATTTTTATCTAGCAGACATGGTGCATTCAAATCCATGTCCTCCCAATAATAACCTTCCCTGTGAGGTAAGGGTTGTAATTTCCAAATTGCAAACGAGCAAGCTGGTGGTGGTGGGGGGGGTTCGACGGCGCCCCCCCCCCAGTTGTTCGGTGAGCGGGCAGAGGTGGCTGACCCGACCCTGGCTTTCCAGTGCCTGGTCTCCTCCTGCCCCCCACCTCTGCTCCCTCTCCCCCCTCTTCTCTTTCCCATTTCTCTTCTCCTCAGTGAATTTTCTCTCATTATGAAGAACAAAAGGTGTCAGACTATTCCACCCTCTTCCATGGGACCATCACCTGGTCTCGCCCTCCATCTGATATTTATTTGGAGCAACACATTTGACCCACAAGGGCTTTTGTTGACAAGGACTAGATTTCAGGCAGCCCAGCTGCGCCCTCTGTTTCCCGGGGGTCCTTAGAAAATGACACGGTGCTGTCCTGCCAGAAGATTGCAGTCTTCGCCCACGCCGTGTTCACGGGGTTGGGTGTCATGGCGTTGCCCATCCTTGGGGCAAGTGGGCAGTGGGGGGGAGTAAGCGGCCTTCCAAAGCTTCCCTGGCAGTTAGGGACAATCAGAAGCCAAACTTCAACATTTTCCTCAGTTTTCTGTAGGATGCAGTTCATTTTGAATTTCAGATTCCCCACAGCTTCAGTAAGGTTTTAATTCATTCCCACAAAAAGCAGTTTTGTGAGGACAGGGCTGAGGCTGTTCAATGGTAGTGTCCACACCCCCTAACTCGCTGGGTGACCTTGAGTAAGTTTATGAATTTCCTGGAACCAGCTGTTGACTTACACACAGAGGGTTCCACCAATAAGCTTCTTTTTAAAAAAAAAAATTTTTTTTTAATTTATTTTTAGAGGAGAAGGGAGGGAGAAAGAGAGGGGGAGAAACATCAATGCGTGGTTGCCTCTCGAGCACCTCCTACTGGGGACCTGGCCTACAACCCAAGTACATGCCCTGACTGGGAATGGAACTTGCGACCCTTTGGTTCATAGGCTGGCACTCAACCACTGAGCCACACCAGCCAGAGCTGATAAGCTCCTTAGAGTCATGGCCCGTTCGTGGAATCTGACCCTGCGTTATTGTCTCAGGATGCCCAGCGAAGGGCAGGAGGGGGGTGGCCATGCAGAGACAGCACCATTGGAAACTTCCACAAAACAGCCCAGTGGAGTTTCCTGGAAGTGGAGGCGGGGCCTGAGAGCATGAGGGGCTGAGAGCATGAGTAGGTCACCACCGGGCAGGTCGGGGGAGGCGGAAGAAGTCAAGGACTGACAGGAAAACTGCTCAGTTATGATAGGACCCTGGAGGCCTGGTGTCCAAAGGTGGCTCATTATTCAGCAGCTTCAGTCATCAACCACTGAACACCATGAGGGACGAGGTCAGGGAGCAGGAGCCAGGCAGTGGGTGCAGCGCTGTGGTAGGTGCACATCACCTGCAGTTTGCCCCAGGTAGAGCAGGCCCCTGGGTACCAGGAAGTGTTCAGGGACAGGGTGCCAACCCTAGGGGGCCAGGGGCTGGGTAGGGCGTCAGCCTTCCCTGAGCAGGGGCCTGGCAGCTGCCCCAGGCCTGAGCTAATTGGGGGCGGGGGGTGGAATAGGTGTTGGTAAGAAGCCCTGGTAGATGGGAGACTGAGCAGCTGTGGAGCATCCTACTTCAGCTGGGGCTGGCCCCAGAGCAGGTCCAGTCTGGGCATGGGAGGGAGCTGTATCCACAGGTTCAGCCCGGAGGTCCCAGGAGGCCAAGGAATGATGCAAGGACCCTGGTGGGCAGCTGGTTCTCCCTGATTAAATACAGCAGCCCCTCCAAGTTCTTCAGGGCTGCACGGGGTCCTCCCCAGCCCCATCCAAACCCAGTCAGGCAGCACTATCCAAGGCAAGGAAATGACCAGTCTTAGCACTTAGTCATCATCTCCTCAGGAATGCACTTAAAGTCCATCACTCCAAAGGAGTCCCAAACTTGTGGCTTCTTTATCTCAGAGAATCGTGTAAGTATTGTAAGTTGTTTTAATTTGAAAAATAAGTGAGTAAACAAGTTTACTGGTGACAGAAGGGTTTGAATCAACCCCCGGCCTGTGCTGGGAGCAGTCACCAGGCAGCACCCCGTGTGCTGACAGGAAACGACCCAGACAGGATGGACGAGCCGGCACCGGCTGGTGCGAGCGGGCCCGCACTGCACTGCACACTCACTCCTGCGTCCAGTCTGAGCAGAGCGGCCCGCAGTGCCCCCTGCATCCAAGCCCACGGGCCCTCTGCGGCACCACGGGCCGGGTCTGCATAGCCCCTTCATTTAATTTCCATTCTTCCACAAGGTTACAGTGGAAGTCTGTTTTCTTTCATAGGATTTTCCATAGCTACATAGTCATTTTCATTTGGTAATCACTGCTCTGTTTTTCATCCTTTCTTATTTTAGTTATTTTCTTGACTTCTAAAGCACTCTGTAGAATTCTCAATGCACAAAGAGAGCTTCTGTAATGAACACTTCTCAATGTCCTAACGTTGGAAAATCAGAGGAAGGTGGGGACACGGGCCAAGCAGGGCTCATCCCCCCTCGGGTTCTGGTCCGGCCTGCCGCCCCCTGGTGATCCGGGTTCCTGGGGCTTCCCCCGCAAGTCCTGGGGGCTCCCTCTCCCGTGTGAATTCTGCTGTCCAGCGTGGGCCCAGGCCGCTGGCCCTGTGCAGAAGTGACTGTAGAGCCACCGGTGGAGACAACCATTAGGAAGGTTGCAGGAATCCTCTCGTCCGTCACCACTTGCTGGGCACACGCTTCTGCACAGTCAGCCGTCCACAACAGCGCCAGCTTCCTTTCCTGCTGCTCCCGGCACTGGCTCCATGAAACTCCCGTTGGGTCTTCCAGTTAATCACCAGAACTAAGATCTTTCCCACCCAGGCCCTACCCATTACCCATCCCACTCACTCCCTACAGACGCAGAACAGCCACTGGGACACAACCGAACTGTCACCACAGAGGACTTCCCCAAGTCAGTTGCCCTTCCCCCGGGATGCTGTTCAGGAGGGGGGGTTCCCCGTAAATCTGTGCGACTCCACCCCGCCCCCTCCCCAGCCCAGCCTGGCGTCATCAGCCCACCTGGAGAGCAGGGAGCTGGGGGCGTTCTTCCTGCCTCTCTGCTCTTCCAGAATCACCGTCAGCACAGCATGAGGAATTGTTCAGAAGCCTCCATCAGCTCCCAGCTCCAAAAGCAGAGTCAAAACACACCTGAGCCCCCGCACCAAGCCTGCGCTGCAGCCTCTTACTTGGCCGCGCCCTAGGGTGCCCCACCTCCATCAGCGCGCTTCCCTCCCCGCCCCCACACACCCTACCTGTTCTTTATGGCCCCAGTCGGAGCCTCTTCCCTGGGTCTGACCTCCCGCAGCCCTCATCTGCCGCACTCCACACCCCAAGATCTTTTCCCAGCACTTTCCCCTCCTGACCCTTAATGGCAGGGTTTTCTCTGCTCGCTCTCCCTGAGTGTTCTCGCCCGCCCTGTGGCTCTGGCCCCACCCCTACTGCAGCCCTCACACCCGCCCCAGGCCAGCTCTCTCCCAACCTCTGACCCTCCCTTCCAGCCGCCTGACACTGCCCCCCCTCGACACCTCGTACACCCCGCACTCTGCGTGTCCAGGGCCAGGCTTGTCGTTCCCCCAGGCCTGTCCCCAGGACCACAGCTCTGCAGGGGCACCTGTTGTGTGTCTCGATGCATACAAGATGCTGTCTTGTTCTTTTGTGGCACCTGTAAACGGCACATCTTCACTGACATACCCCCTCAGGTTCACGCCTACATCATCAGCCACCTGAAGAAGGAGATGCCGAGCGTTTTTGGAAAGGAGAACAAGAAAAGAGAGCTGATCAGCCGGTTGCCAGAAATCTACATTCAGCTGCAGCGAGAGTACCAGATTTCTGCAGGGGACTTCCCGGAGGTCAAGGCCATGCAGGTAACTGAGCCCATCCCAGCAGCACGGAGGGGGGCGCACAGGCACGGCCGCCTCGTCCGGCTGGTCACGGGGCACACCCGCTTTCCTGGTTTAGGATGGAGGGGAGTGCGATAGATTCGTCTTCCTGACGGTGACCCGTGAAAATGGGCTGCTGTGACTGACGCCGGTCACCTGCCTCCCGTAACATGTACATGAAAGGGGACACAGTTCACAAAGTAAATTAAGCTTACATGAAAAAAACTATATGAGCCATCCTCTCAGGCTGTTTGTGACTGTGTTGTCACTGAGGGCACTCGTGATTTGGAATCGCAGAGCCTCAGGGGAATCAGGGCCGGCTGCCCGGGGGGTCTCCCGGCCGCCTCCTCAGGCCGGCCCTGCCTGGGACCGCCCTGCGCTGTCGGGACCATGTGCTCAGGCCAGTCGGAGGCCACAGGCTCTGCGGGCACGGCCACACTTCACTAGACACGGCGAGATGTGCCCACTGAGGACTTTGTTTAAATGCCCCTGTTGGGCAACCTTTGGCCAGATTTCAGGGTCTCCCTGAGTTATGCACAGGCAACCCCAGAAGAGCCCGAGTAGGTGCTGCATTCAGCCACCCCGGCCTGACCAGCATGTCCACCACCCCGGGGTGGTGTTGGGTGAACATTTCAGCGCTGACCGTACCCTTCCGAGAGAGGCAGACGGGTCCTCGCACTGCACGAGAAAATGGTCCTCCCAGAGCCGGACCGGCCGTCTTCTTGCCCAGTGCGGGGCTCGTCCACACTGGAGCCACAGTCGTTAGACGCAGAGCGACACACACTGAGATGGCTGCAGCCGATACCGTGGGGGCAGGCAGGCCGGGCGAACAGAGCCAGGTCGCCTGCTCTGACTGCCTCCTGTGTCCTCACAGCTGATAGAGACGGGGGCTCCTGGACATGCGTCTCCACCAGGAGGAAGCCAACTCCACAAGCGAGATGAGAACTGTGGGAGGCCCACACCCGGGGGAAGGCCCTGTCCTATCTGGGGGTCGTCACCCTGCACAAACGCGGGCCTGGAAATCTGTAAAGTCCCCTGGTTTTCACATTTTGGCTCAAACTTCCAGAGCAGACTGCGTAGGCCACACAGAGGGCACCCACATACTGGCTGCCCCCTGAGCCGCAGGGGAAGACAGCGCTGACGTGAAAGGGCCGTTTAAAATAACGCAGCCTGCAGGTTGGGCTGGGGAGGGTGCGTAGACAGGAGGCAGGTACCAACAGGCAGCAGGAGGGGCAGTGTCGATCCTGAGGCTTTTTTCAGACGTAAACTTCATATACCATGAAAGAGGAGTGGGTCACGCTCAGTGTTGTGGGTGGGGCCCAGGCTGCGGGCATCTGGTCACAGTGACTTAGCCAGCTTCAGGGTAAGAACAGAAACATCTGTGTTCTTCCGTGAATGAAATAAGTACCCCTGCGCTCAGAAGATGAACTGCCTTTTTTTTTTTCTGGTCACAAGACAGCTAATTTGAGGGGCCTCTTGGAGCATCTTCCTGAGCAGGTTCCACTTTCATGCCCTTGTTTGATGCCCTGCATTCCATGGCCAAAGCGAGGGACAGCTGTTTCCTGGCTCCCTTCAGAAATTGTCAAAGGGAAATCGGTTTCTGGACAGAACTGAAAACTGTGCACTATGGCCTGACGGGGCTTCTGTGGCTCGTTAACCTGCTGAGGCTGCCACCGTGCCCCCCACACAAAAAAGTGCTGCTCCCAAGACCCGAGGCTCCGCTGCGCCCATTGGGGGCTGCTGCAGGCCTCCCTCCCGGGGGCCCCGCCCCATCCCCCAGTGCACTTCCTTAACACAGGCGCGCAGCGTGACCAGAGCTGCTGCTGACCACGTTAGCCAGGGCCTGGCCGGGGCAGGGGGCGCCAGAGCTGGGGCAGAAGGACAGTGCCCGGAGGAGAAAACAAGGGTCTCGGGAGCAGTCACAGCCCCACTTGCTGGGTGATACTGGAAAGGCCTGGGCCTTCGCTGAGAACCTGGTGGGTCAGGCCCCGTACCAGGTGCCTCAGCACCTTCGATGAGCACCTGAGTGCCCTAGAAGTGGGACCCAGGAGTCCCAGATGACAGGTGCCCCATTCACCTGTGTTCATTTATTCATTCACCCCAAAAACATTAATTAAGCCTACTGCGGCCAGGCGCTGTTCTGGGCCCAGGACAAGCCAACAAACAGAAATGAACTGATGGCAAAAGTCAGCCTCTGTGACACAGGTGGCAGACACAGGCCCACAGGCCCAGTCCGGCCCCGCACCTGGTTTCTACCTCGTGGCAGTGCTGAGCTCCTTGCCCCTAGTTAAGGAGTAAAATTCCATTCGGCCCTTGGAAGGCACCCACGAGGCTGATGTGGCCCCTGCGAAAATGAGTTGGACACCCCTGCCCTGTGGGATGTACAGGGTGGATCATGGTCTTTGCCACTGTGACGGTGGTTGGCGGTGAAGCTTTGGCAGCAAAGCTGATTGTTGGGTCATGTGCTTCTTGTTACCACACAAGTGCCGTTGTCCTCCAGTGTCACCAATCACTGTGCTCATTGCCTGTGATGAAGGGGAAGTGTGACTCCGTGAGGCCAGCGGCCTGCGCCCTGTTGCCACCACATCCCCGGCACCTCAATGAATATGTTTTAATGAGTCATTGTTCAGTTAGTATATGTTTCTGTCCATGGAAGTCCAAGCCTATAGAAAAAAAAAGTTTTAAGAGTTTATTTGAACCAAAAAACTGAGGACCAGCCAGAAGCAAAATCTCAAAGGATTGAGAAAATGAGCCAAAGAATGGCGGTTTTACAATTCTTTTAATGCACTTAGAATCAAAGGAGGAAAATGTGAGGAAGGTTGTATGAAATCCATTCTGGCAGGTTGAGGAGACAGGAGAAGGCAAGGCAGACACTACCCGGTCTTACACCGGCAGGCGCAGGAGCGTCCACAGCGCACAGAGGCGGCCTGGGGCAGCAAGGGAGCAGGGAGTTGCCTGGAGTCCCTCCCTGGTACAGGCGGTTGTGGCTCCTCCGAGGGGTCTAGGAAAGACCGGGACTGGCGTTCTAAGGGCATGTTGTCCCCGTGCACAAAAACGATGGACAGGGCTCCCCTAAGGCACAAAATGAACCTTTTTTAAGGAATCTGCAGGCCGGGAATGTGACCACGCACTAGACGCCCTGTGTGGATCCTCCTGGCCGCTGAGCTACATGGCCCCTCCTTTCTGTTCACCCGCTGTCACAGAGGGCTCTGGGGCACTGGCCTTCTCAGACCCTGGTCCAGCCCTGGTCCTGACTCTCACCGGGCTAGTAGACCAGCAGCTTGCAGAGCAAAGCCTGGAAGTTGGAAGAGGCTTCCTGCTCAGGAAACCTGCAGGGCCCCGATCGCACCGCCCTGTCCCTGCAGGGACTCCCCAGGGAACGAGGCAGGCCTGCAGCCCGTAAGGTGTGCTTACAATCACCTGACACTTCAGGCTAGTTGGCTGTCACCCAAGAGCTTTTGCCGGAGAGGGGGGGAGTCATGGTGTGGGTCAGGACCTCTGTCATCACTGAGTCTGCTGAGCATCTGACACCCTCTATAACACAGGCATTCGACCTCACTCCACCTGCGTCTGGGACAGGGTGGGGCCGACGCGTGGCAACGATTTATCATGACCTTCGCACCTCCCAGGGTCACTCAGAGAGCTCGCCCATGCCAGCTCCAAGTCTCTGTTCTCCCTGTGCTCTCAGACCACGAAGGTCTGGCTGACTCAGCCTTGGTGAGTCAAGGGTATTTTAAAGGCTTTTGCCTGGTGCTGAGAGATACCTGTGACCTGCTGGTAAGAATCCCTGCGTCCACCCTGCCCTTTTGGGGTGGAGTCTGATTTGCCACATTGACATGTCCCTACTGGAAAACAAGGAGAACACTAGCAAGGCCTCTTCTATGGCTGACTCAGTCGTCAGCCAAGTAGAATTTGGCTCCCACAGCGGAGGAGTGGGCAGCGTTTCAACAGCAGAGGGCAGCAGAGGGCAGCAGAGCCACCCCGGCTCAGACCCTCCCTGGACTTGAAAACCACTTCTGGCCGAAGTTGGGAGTGGGCAAGGGACAGTCCTGGAGACTGGGATGGCAACTGACCTCTGAGTCTTGGGGTCCTGGGTTGGTGGCTTTGACAGCCGTAGTGGTTGATGGGTAAATCTTTAAATTCTCCAGTGTACGTTCACCCCATTAAAAAGGTGTCTGTTTTAGAGCCGCCTTGGGTGGGGGGGCCCGGCAGTGGTTTACTTTGTGCCTCCACTCACTGCTCAGGCCTAGGGCGCAGGGCAGTGCAGGCGTCGGGGTGCAGGGTTCATTGCCTCTGTGCCCTCCAGGGCAGGAACGACTGTGACCGCTGCTTCCTGTTCACCCCACAAATATGTGGCCATCTCCCCTTGCCGCTTCCCTGAGGTTGGCAGTCCGGGTCCACGTCCCCTGCGGGAGGGCAGAAAGTGTGGGCGGACACCACGCTCATTTGTCTGCCTGGCCAGACACGGGGGCCCTGTGCGCACCCAGGGGAGGTGCCTGTGCACCCGGGGGGTCCAGCCTTGTTTGCCCCGGCAGCACCCGGATTCTCGTGTTGGCTGCCTGCTTCCCTCCTCTCAGGCCTTCTCGGTCCCCTTGGCTGACCGGGATTGTTTGGTGCTGCTGTTGGGGTGACACGCAGGTGTCTGGAGTTCGTCCGTAAGGATGAAGGAACGTGTTTTAGAAACCAGCCTGCACCGCCCTGCTGCTCCTGGCCCCATGCAGCCGCCCACAGAGGTCGGCCTGGCCCAGCCCAGCGAGGCCTGACAGTGGCAGAGGTGGCGGCTAAGAAGTGTATTGGAGGTGCCTCTCTGGACACGATGTCAGGCTGTTTAGCTTTCAGTTCTGTCCCCTGCACCGCTGAAAGCTAAAGGCTCCACTTCTAAATGCACAGCATAGTCTGTCTGCCCAGCCGCTGTGCCCCAGACCCCACCTTCTCCATGGAAACAGCCTAAACCTCCCAGTACGTGGGGCAAGGAGACGACAGGGCAGGCCCGGCAAAGCTGGAAGGGCTGGCCCGGAGCAGAGCGGCTCTGCAGAGGCGGAGAGCTGGGGTTTCTTTGTTGTTGCCGTTGGTCGGTGGCTTGGCCTTGGAGTTTTGTTTTTGATTTTTGGTTTTAGCTCCTGACATTCAAGGAAATGTCTGTCAAAACACTAGCTGAACACAGCCTAAGGAACAGATTTCAATGATTACAGTCTTTGCAAAAAACAGTTTGGGGAAGTCACTAAAAAAAAAAGAATAAGATTTTATAAAAATCAGTATCATGGAAAGTCATAATATATTATTTCTTTTAAATGCAGGTTGTCAGGCAGTGTGGTCTCCTTTCCGTTGAAGCTCGTGTGTGTTGTCTGTGTATCTCTAAAAACGGCTGGAAACGTGGCCCCAAAATATTAGCAGGTTATTGCTGGGTGGTGGGATTGTAAGTGATTTTCATTTTTTATTTTTGTTTCCTGGGTTTTTTTCCATAAAAATTTTTCAGGTAGAAGTGTGATATTTATGACAGCACGAAGCTTCCATCCTTTCTAACTGGCCACCGTGGCACTTCTGCCCGGCTGGGTCTGCGAGGCCCGTGAAACCTCTTTTCCCTGAGGGCCTCCCTGCCCCGTCTCCCGAAAATTACGCCCCAGACCCTCCAGAGTTGTCCCAACTGCCATGCCTGGAATTTTCTGCATTTGTTTGACAAAACTGCTGTTGAAGACATTTCTCACTAGATCCTGAGGCCCTCATAGAAAGCCCCGGGAACTCACACTGCAGGGCGAGGCCACGTCCGCGATGAACAGGGGGTGTCCGCCCTGGGACTCCGAGGGGTGTGACGTGCCCTCCCACCAACCCCGGCCGGCAGCTGCGGAACAGCGGCTCTTCTCTCCTTGGTTGTCTGGTGTGCTCATTCCCACCCTCTCCCTTCCAATTACTTGGCTTTTCCTTTTTTAGTGAGATCTGTTTCATGTTAACATTTTCACCGTAAGCTAAGTCAGCCCTTTTTGAAAGGAGACAGGAACAAAAATACTTGTGTCCTTCCTCTGTGGCAACACGGGCTCCTGGAGGGACAGGCTGTGGCTGTTCCCATTTATGTCCCTGGGCCCCAAAACAGGGCCTAGCACGTGGCAATGGCCAGTAACTGTTGGGTGGATAAAGAATGGGTAAATCGATGAAGGTGGATGGATGGATGAAGGATGAATAGATTGATGAAGGATGGATGGATGAAGGATGGATGGATGAAGGATAAAACACTGATTCTAGAGGACTCTAAAAAAGCAGGTGGCAGGGCGAGGGCAGGTCGTCTCAAGTGCTAAGCATTGCTATTGGTCGTACAGCCACCCGCAGAGAGGAGCTGCCTCCCATGCATCCATTCCTTGTTCCAAAAGCCACTCCTGTGTCTGGCGAGTTCTCGGAGGGAGAGCTCTGGAACAGCCCCGGTGCGGAGTAGAGTGTCTGCTTCAGGAGGAGATTCTGGCCCTCGGCTACCCTGCCCCTGTCTGCTTCCTGAAAGAGGGCGCGTGACCACGTCTGTGGCTTCTCCTTTTGCAGGAGCAGCTCGAGAACTATGACTTCACCAAATTCCACTCGCTGAAGCCCAAGCTGATCGAGGCCGTGGACAACATGCTGACCAACAAGATCTCGTCCCTGATGAGCCTCATCAGCCAGGAGGAGCTGAACACGCCCACACAGTTCGTGCAGGGCGGCGCCTTCGACGGCACCGCCGAGGGCCCCTTCAACCAGGGCTACGGGGAGGGCGCCAAGGAGGGCGCCGACGAGGAGGAGTGGGTCGTGGCCAAAGACAAGCCTGTCTACGACGAGCTCTTCTACACACTGTCACCCATCAATGGCAAGATATCGGGCGTCAACGCCAAGAAGGAGATGGTGACCTCCAAGCTGCCCAACAGCGTCCTGGGCAAGATCTGGAAGCTGGCCGACTGCGACTGCGACGGCATGCTGGACGAGGAGGAGTTCGCGCTGGCCAAGCACCTCATCAAGATCAAGCTGGACGGCTACGAGCTGCCCAGCAGCCTGCCCCCCCACCTCGTGCCCCCCTCTCACAGGAAGTCCCTTCAGCAGGCCGACTGAGAGGCCAGCTGTCCACGGGGAAAGGCAGTGTGGGGTGTGAGTCCTGGGGCCTGGGCCCGAGGCTCTTGCTGTCACTGACTTACTGAGTGACCCTGGGCAAGGCACTGCCCTCTCTGTGCCTCAGTTTTCCCATCTGTAAAATGGACATTAGATGAGGTCCTTTTGCCTCTAAAATTCCCTGAGTTTTTATTAAAATACTGGGGGAGGGCAGGTAAGGAGATTGTAGGGTGAAGTGAGAGAAATCGACCAAAGATTACTCAGACGCCTGGAGAGTCCCAAGTGCAGAGGCGGGCGGGCTGGAGTCCCAGGAGCTCGGGTGGGCCTGGGGCTGCCGCTGCGGCAGGAGGCCGCTGGGCTCTGCGGCCCGCGCACCGGCAGGAACCTGTGCGTCCCTCAGGGCAACCTGGGGGAGCAGAGATGGTGTCATTTATTGGGATTCCTGCTATATTTAGAGTGAACAAAATACAGTAGAGAGGGTTTCTGTTCTCTCCAACCTGTCTACCAAAGAGAAGGCGGTTGCTGCCCCAGGTGTGAGAGAGCTGCCCCGTGTCTGCACAGCCCCGGGCCTCCTGTAGCCGGGGCAGAGCCTGGCCAGGCCACAGAGAGCCCGTCCCTCCCAGCCCCGCCCCACCGCCGCCCCGGGGTCTTCCCAGCAAAGCAGTATTTGGTTAGGAATTGGGAATTAGATGAGCCCTGGCGAGATTTCTGGTGTTCATTTCGAGCCATGTTGAGTCTGAAGGTTAGCTTTCCTCACCAGTGTGTCCAGTAATTTGTGTGAAGTCTGTTGGTTGTACGGAGACTATGGTGAGGGAAGGAGGTGGTTCTCCCCAGCGGTCACTTAGACCTGTCACATGTCCCCGAGGGGCCTCAGCCAATGTCAGGATTTAAACCCCACGAAGGCCTGTCCGGTGGGCGCAGTGCCCTGGTCCTGCGGACACAGAGGGGTTAGGATCCCGCCTGCTCTGCGCTATCACGCAGAAGTCAGTCCACCAGCGTTAGACACTTTTTATTTTTTTTAAAGGCATTTTTATGATGTCCATTTTTTTCCTTATAGTATAAAAAGCCTTTATAAAGAAATAGGATGGAATCTTTCATATAAAACTTTTCCTTCAAAAAGCTGTGTGGTCCGTATCATGAATGCCCCTCGACACTGGCTCCCGAGGGCGCTCCCCCGAGTCCCCCACGTCAGCCTCTGGGGACCGTTCGCTCTGATGCCTGCGCTGACCCAGGTGGTTCGTGCTCCCCCACCCCACCCCCGCCATGGGGGCCCCAGCGCAGAGGGCGGCGCCTTGCACCCCTAACAGTGCAGTGATGACCGAAGGCCTGAGCCTTCCAAAACCACATTTTTTTCCTTCTGTTACCCGTGACATCAGGGTCTGAACTGCAGGCTGCAGAGAAATTCTTTACCTTAGAGAAGCATGCACCCAGATGCCAGCCCTCAAACTCCCTAGCTTGCTTTCTAAATAATTTTGTTTTAAGGGAAATAAAGGCACAGTATGGTTTTTATCCTTACTGAGCAATTTTAAATTAACGAGACATGGAGAAAGGAGACGTTTACAATTCAGTGCTGTAACACCAGCGGGTGGTTCCGTGAACACAGGAAGCTGGGACGCGTGAAGCTCGGTGGTGTCCACCAGAGGGCGAAACTGAGGCGGAAGGAGAGCGGATGGGTGCCCGTGGGTTTAGAGATGCTCGCTTAGCTGATTTTCCATTCAGAATTGTCTTGCTGCTTTAACTCTATTGAACTGTCATATATAAAGATAAATGTATGCACACATGTCACATGAATACGTATTTTTGACACTTGTCAACGTGCACGCATGTAGACACGGCCAAGTGTTGTCCGTGGAGAAACATGAGGAAACTGTGTTAAGGAGCCAGCAGGTCTCGGTTTCTGTGTGGAAGGAAACGCGGAACTGGGACCCCACCCCGCCCTCAGGTGGGAGACCCACGGGCCGCCGCTTCCTTTCCCAGCCCAGGAAAAAGCAAAGAGAAAATTGCATGCCCCTTTTCTTAATATCTGCTCTTACGACAGGAAGCCATCGGAACTGATTGCAAAGGAAAATACTGGAAACCATTAGGGATGGCACCCAAGTGAGGACCCGCACTAAGTTCCTTTAGTCTGTGTCCAAGACACCCATTCTCCCCACCCCACGCCCAGGTCAGGGGCAGCAAGGTCTGCCCTTCCCACGCCACCCCAGTTTCCAAAGTACCCCCTCCCCAGCGTTCACAGGTGGTTGGGAGGGTGGAAGCAGGGACACTCACACTCTGAAAGCTATCTTCATGATCTCCATGATGCCACGGAAGAAAATCTAGTTTCTACACAGCACGTGCTATCACCTACCACAACCCTCTGGAGTTTGGGGCGGGGCGGGGGTGGTGGTGGAAACTTGAGCTACCTGTCCCAAAGTTGAGTTCCCAACTGTAAGCCTGCTGATGAGGCCCTGCTGAACCCCACTGTAAAGAAACGGCACTAGGACCTGCTCTGCAGCGAAGGGCAGGCCTTCCACCTGCTTCAGCCTTCTACCACCCAGCAGCAAGAAAATCAGTTCTTTTCTTTTTTTTTTTATTGATTATGCTGTTACAGTTGTTCTATTCCCCCTTTCATTCCCCTCCACCCTACCCCCCATCCCCACCATTACCCCCCCTTTAGTTTATGACCATGCATCTCAAGTTCTTTAGATTCTATATTTCCCATGCTATTCTTGCCCCCCCTTCTATTTTCTATCTACTGTCTATGCTACTTATTTTCTATACCTTCTCCCCCCTTCTCCTCCTCCCACTCCCCTATTGCTAACCCTCCTTGAGATCTTCATTTCTATGTTTCCACTCCTGATCTAGCTGTCCTTTTAGTTTGCTTTTGTTTTAGGTGTGGTTGTTAATAACTGTGAGTTTGCTGTCCTTTCACTGTTCATGTTTTTTTATCTTCTTTTTCTTAGGTAAGTCCCTTTAACATTTCATATAATAAGGGCTTGGTGATGATGAACTCCTTGAATTTGATCTTATCTGAGAAGCACTTTATCTGTCCTTCCATTCTAAATGAAAGTTTTGCTGGATAGAGCAGTCTTGGTTGTAGGTCTTTGGATTTCATGACTTGGAATACCTCTTTCCAGCCCCTTCTTGCCTGTAAGGTCTCTTTTGAGAAATCCACTGACAGTCTGATGGGGACTCCTTTGTAGGTGACTGTCCCCTTAGCTCTTGCTGCTTCTAGGATTCTCTCCTTCATTTTAATTTTGGCTAATGTAATGATGATGTGCCTTGGTGTGTTCCTTCTTGGGTCCAACTTCTTTGGGACTCTCTGAGCTTCCTGGATTTCCTGGAAGTCTATTTCCTTTGCCAGATTGGGGAAATTCTCCTTTATTATTTGTTCAAATAAGTTTTCCACTGGTAGCTGTGCCTTTCCCCCTTCTGGTACCCCTATAATTTGGATGTTGGAGCGTTTAAAGATGTCCTGGAGGTTCCTAAGACTCTCCTCATTTCTTTGAATTCTTGCTTCTTCACTCTTTTCTGTTTGGCCATTATTTGCTTTCTTCTGGTCCACTCCATTGATTTGAGTCCCAGTTTCCTTTTCATTGCTATTGGTGTCCTGTGCAATTCCATTCATTTCTATTAGTTTTGCCTTCATATATTTGTCTAATTTGTGGCTATAATCAACCAGTTCTGTGAGGATCCTGATCACCAGTGTTTTAAACCATGCATCTGAGAGTTTTGCTATTTCTTCATCGCTTAGATCTATAGGCTCTGGGGCTTTGAGATCTTCCTGTGCCATTTTTGGTCTGTTCTGGCCCTTTAAGTGTGAGAAGCGGTGCCTTGGACTCCCAGGTCGCTGGTTTGTGATGCTGTATGTGGGGGCGTGGTCAGAGCGGGGAAATGGCGGCCCCCTCTGCTGTTTCTCACAGCTGGGTGAGGATCAGAGCCTTAGGTGGTTCACCAGGGCCTGGCCACTCAGAGTCGCTGGGTTATGACGCTGTATGTGGAGGTGGGGTCAGAGCAGGGAAATGGCGGCGCCCTCCGTGCCGCTTACTGCGGGGACCCGCCGGGTCGAGGTCCAATGGCCCACTCCCTCGCTTGTCTACCTGCGCACAAATGTGCGACCACAGTCAACACGCAGCACTGCTCCCCCGCTGTCTCCCCCGAGGTCGCTCGCCTGGTCGCTCACTGGGTCTCTCACTAGGTCCAACCCTGCGCCTGGATTCCGCGCCTGAGTCCGTCTGACCAAGTCCTCCTGTGCAATCCCGCTCCACCAGCCACTGGTTTCGCCCCTTACCGGTCAGGCTGAAGAATTTGTTGTTAACGGACTTCTGAAGAGTTCAATTTTCCGTGTTTTGGCTGTGTTTTCTGTTGCTAATATTTAGTTGTCTCTAATCTTGGTTGTGTGAGAAGGCACGGCACATCCACCTATGCCTCCATCTTGGCGGAAGTCCGAAAATCAGTTCTTTTCTTCCCAGCACTTGGATGGCCCAAGGTGGGTCACTTCCTGTGTGATACTCACTTGGCCTTAGCATCTCCAGGGCTAGACTGGGTTCTCTCAAACCCTTGTCATTTTGCAGCAATAGCATCTTTGCACTTGGGCTTTGGTTCCCCTCGCAGGATAGCAGGCCTTGAAGAGTTGAATTCTTACTCTATCATCATGGGTGTCCAGGTGAGTCAGCAGAAGAGGAGAAGCAAAATGCCTCCTACTGGGCGCCCCGGCCCCACTGCCCGCCCCTCAGTCTTCCCCGCGGCAGCCGGCTCTCCCTCCGCTGCTCCTCGCTGGGAAGGCCTTGCACCAGAGCCGAGCCCCACATCCAGTGCCCCGGACAAATTGCCTTGACGATACAAAGAGGGTCTAACAGGCACTGTTTATTTCCGCCATGGAATGCGGCAGAGGAATGACATTTTTAGGACAGGTAACCACTGAGTTGATTCAGGTAAACACGGGCCTAATTTAAGAGCAGGTCAAGTCACATGTCAATCAGCCAATGCAGTTAATACACAATGCTTCTATTTTTTTTTGTAATCTTATTTAGAACTGTCAAACAAAAAAGACGGTCTACTGATCAATAAACTTCTGAAAAAATCACTCCCTTTCCCTCCACTGCCTCAGGTGGCCCGGGGACCACGTGCAGCTGTCTCAGGTAAAGCAGGGTCCCTGTCACCCATTCTGACACCAGGCAGAGGAGTAGGCGGTGGGGTGGGTGCCCTCTGCACACCATTCATGTCACCCCTGACTTCCTGTGTCCTCTCTGGGTGGGAGACTCCCAACATGGGGCTTCTTTAGAGAGAAAGCGGCTCCATCCCCTGGGGGCCAGTGTGGGCGCAGGCCCGAGGGAGGCCCCGACACGACTGGAGGGGACCTTGGAGGCGGGCCTCCCAGGAGGGGCACCACTGAGCACTGCCACGGAGCAGTGCTGCCACGAGACCTCACAGAGCAGTGCCCGGGCAAAGCCTTGGCCGGCCGCACCGCTCCTGCCTCCTGCCAAACCTCACAGGTGTGCGCCACCCATAACAGACATCTGGGTTCTCCCTCCGGCACCCCTCTGCCTTTGGTGATCCAGACCTAGAATTCCCTTTGCAGAGCACCCTCCACGTCCCCCCACCTCAGTCTGAGCCATGAGGTAGATCCCTACCCCTCTTTCCAGGGCGGGCCCTGATTGGCTTGAACCAAGTCAAGTATTTCATCCATCCCCCTGGTCACAGAAATTGGCCTTAGCCAATTTCAGGAATGTTTCAGGAATGAACAGGTAGTTCAACTCAAGCCAGCGAAGGCCAGGCCCCTCAGCCTTGTTTCCACTCTCAGGAGACACGTTCTCCTCTCTGATCCGTACAAGGTACAGAAGCCACCATTGGAACGATGGCATGGACGCCACTGGAAGGGCGCCCAGAGCTGCTAGGGCCCAGGCGTGAGGGGCGGCATCGTGTGAGCCACGGGGCCCAATATTCCTTGATGTCCCCCTGCTACACTTCTCCATTGTGTGGGCCAGCACATTCCCTTCATGTTGTTTAAACCCTTTTGACTTGGGGTTTCACTTACTTGCAAGGTAAATAGTCCACAACCCACAGGGATTCCCATTTCGGCAGGGGCTGCAATGTCACGGCTTGGCCCTTGTGTGCAGTGGCTTTACTGCAACTGAGCTCAGGGGGGAGGAGAGCAGCGCCCCAGCCCCACTCGACAACCTCAAACACAACGACCTCTGCTGAGATCTGTGTGCGGAGCACCGTGCAGCTGCCTCCGTCCCTCCCTCCGGCAGTCACGTCACAGCAGGTGCCCAGGACCGAGGGTCTTATTAGCAGGAGAAACAAGCTGGGAGAGAGGGGTAGTTCCTGGAAGAAGCAGGATTTTAGCTGGGGCTGCTGGGATAGGAGAAGGGGGAACAGAAGGGACATCTAAGCTGAGAGAACAGGCCCAGACATGGGCAGGAAAGCCCTGTTTCCGCACAGGCGATGGGGAGTCTTCACAGGTGTGAGCCGAGTTGCACTCTGGGAGGTCATCAGGCCGGGAGGAGGCTGACCTGCAGGCAGGATGGGGGGTTGGGGACCCGTGGTGAAGGGGCAGTGAGATCAGAGGGGGTGGGGTGCCAGGGTTGCACAGTGGGGCAACATGGAGCACAGTGGGGGTGGGGGACACACAGCAGGAGCCTCTGGTAACTGGCTGGATCTGGGCCACAATGAGGAAGCAGCTGGGGAAGCCAGCCAGGGGCAGGAGGGACCTCGCAGGAGGGGGAAGCTGCCCCACCCCACGACCTGCGTTCAGGTGTGATTCACCCTCCCCAGGCCCCAGGAGCAGGCTGTGGCCGCTGGCC